ACACTGTAAACAATGATTGTGATTTTAACAGTAAAATACTGTAAAAATGCTACAGTAAAAACCTGTTAATTGGTTAACAGTAAGTTTCCATAGTATATACGGTGAATAAATGTAATTACATTTAATGTAATTTTACAGTAAAATACTGTTAAAATTATGGTTTTTGGAAGTGAAAAGAAAAAGTCATTGTACACTGTAAAAAATTACTGTGAATTTAATGGTAAAAAACTGTAAAAATGCTACAGTAAAAACCTGTTAAATGGTAAATTTCCCTACTATATACGGTGAAAAACTGTATTGGACATTACATGTAATTGGATGGTAGTATACCGTTTTTGGAAGTGAAAAATAACATATAATTTACAGTCAATAACCGTAAATTGACATTCCCAGAATTCCCTGCGTTACATTTCAAAATTGATGTTTTTTTTTGTTGAAATAACGGTTTCTTAGTTTTTTCTTATCAGTTTTGTACATTAGGGTTGTATGTTACATTTAATGTTGATAAATTAATGTTTATTGCATTATTTAAGTTTGATGTGTGTTACCATGATGATGTTTAGTGTTTGTGTGAATGACACTGTGCACCTTCTATATATGTTATTATTTAAAAGCTGCTTGTGATGGGCTTTGGTTAATGTAAAACCTAAAATGTTGCTACTGTATTTTTTAAGGTAAAATTCTGGCAACCACAGCTGCCGTTTTTTACCGTAAATTTTACGGAATTTTTTTTACAGTGTATAATTTATAGCGTAAAAACCTAAATTGACACTCCCAGAATTCAATGCATGACACTTCATATTTGATGTTTTTTATTGAAATGTTTTTTTTCTTATCAGCTGAGTATGTTAAGGTTTTATCTTACATCTAATGCTGTTAAATTAATGTGTATTGCATTATTTCAGTATCGTGTGTTACTATGATGGTGTTTAGTGTTTGTGTGAATGGCACTGTGCACCTTCTATATATTAGTATTTCCCTCCTCAGCTCGTAGAAAAGCTGTTTGTGATGAGCTTTGATTCATCATGTGACTTTCTCATCACCACCAGTTTTTGGTGGTTAGTGTATTACAATGGTACAAAACAGATATTAGTTCTTCAATATGTTGGTTTATTAACATTACATTAGTATTTTTTTTTTTACAGTGTAGTCTAGTAGAGAAAAACTTTAAGTTAAGCGTTCCCCTATATTATACCTTATGGGTAAAGGCCTTCTCCACTTTTTTGCAGTAAAGGTGATTCCATATATACAGTGTCCACAAAATGTTTAATGTAAGAGCAAATGCACCATTTGTAAGAATGTTTTTAGTTTTTGAAAGAAATTAATTTAGTGATGGAACTTCTTGGATTTTAGCGTGCAGCCAATATGTTCAGATAACCCAACAACTAGTGCAGCATATACATTTCTCGTTTTGCACATTCTTGCACAAAATATAGCAATACCTTGTGTTTAAATATGATGCCGCAAAGCAGACATCTGAACTCAAAATGATCTGTCAAGAGTTTTTGAATGCTCTGCGATGGAAATGTACATGAATGGCCATTACGCTAACCATTTACGCAACCCTTCCAAATCCCAACTGAAGCTGAATGAAATGAAAAACGATAAATGGACACAAATGAGTGATAATCGTCTACGGTGAGGCCCATCAGCATTAATCAGGGCCATATGGTTGTGGTATTCCCAGCTCTTCTGGGCTGGGATATGGGGTGCTGGAGCATGGTGGGACTCTAAGCGGTCTCCTAATGGCCCAGTTAAAGAAGGTAAATGGAAGACAGGTGTTGGATCCCGCTGAGAGTGCCCTCTCCTACCTGCACTTATTAAGCATCCCTGCGTCTGGCCTCCTATCCTTTAGCTGCCCTTTAACATGCCACATTCTGCTCAATCAGTCCTGGTTGCACTGTGGTGTATCACAACTCATCCACTGTATTCAACAAGACAGACGAGTGTCAACATGCTGCCACATGCCCAAACTGCTCATCTTGAAAATATACTGTAAAAAGGAAATCTTGAGAAAACTCAAATTCAACACCTGATGCATTCAGATTTAGGTTCTCTCATCTGCTCTTTTAAAAACTGCCACAGAGCAGCACTGCTTTGTTTTGTCCATTTGAATTTGTTTGTTCACGCCTCATTAAGTCAATTTATTCACAGAAGCAATATATATAGGATGCTTAATATGTGATATGAACTATGCTATCTTTGTTTCTGAGACGTGATCACTTTACAAAGCAAATATATCTGGGATATAGTCTTCGAAGGCTGTACACAGACCTCAACTCTTCACACACAAACCTCAAGAACAGTGACAATCAACAAATGAACAAAAAAAAGATCTTAAAGTAAGCTCACCCAAAAATGAAAACTCTTATAATTTACTCACCCTTGTGTCATTCCAAACCCATAAGACTGGTAAACATGGAAGCTTGTGCGTGTGTCACACGCTAAAACAAACCTCAATAGTTCTCTATGTATGTGTATTTAAATGTGAATAAAAGCCTAAAATAAATCTGTTCATCAAAAAAAGCGATTGTATCTCTTCACAAGATTAAACCACTTGATTTATATAGATTCAATTTACGGTGCCTTTATGACCTTTTTGGATCTTCTAAGTGTTGTTTAACTGAATTTTCAATGGAGGGACAGACACCTCTCAGGTTTTATTAAAAATATCTTAAACTGTGTTTTGAAGAATAACTAAAGTGTTACGGAATGACATTAGGGTGCGTAAATCATGGTAGAATTTTCATTTTTGGGTGAAATATCTTTTTAAAACAACAAATATCTAACAATAACGACAAAACAAAAACGAAAGTTTTAAATACAAAGTTCAGCAAACAGCAAAACAATAATCCTATACCAGTAACTGCATAATTTATTCATGCTGCAGTGCATGCTGGGAACTCACAAACCCTTAACATTTCAGCAATACTCTTCAATTTTAAAATCTTTGGTCAGAAAACTGTTTGGCTAGTTGGGACAACATTTAGGGGAATTTTGGTCTAACATGGGTTTTTATGTAGTTTCAAATAATTCACATTTCTTAGTATTTGTGACTCAAAAAGGTCCTGTAAACGGGAATATATGTAGTTGCTTTTTTTTACAGTGCAGAGAGTAGATGTCTGCTCGTTTGCTGCTGTGTTAGGTCTATGTCTCTCTCTACTTGTATGTTCTAGTATGATGTGTTTATATTTTGGCTTTTTTGTCATTTATCTTTCCATCACTGCAGCTTTACAGCCAATGCAGGTATTCTCATGGACAATGGATATTTCTTCACTCTATTTCTTTCTTCTCTCTCTATGTCCTAGGAGATTTTCTCTCACCGTTTCTTCCCCTTCAGTATATACCACTGCTTCCCAAGGGAATCTCATCCTCCTTCAGGTTGCTCTGTTTATGTCTGTCTCCCCCCATGTCTTACCTTCCCCCTCTCTCTCCCTCATATGCCCTTAGTCTGCCCCATTATCGCCACATCACCTGTCCTGCTGTGGTCTCGTCCTGAAAATCCCTCCAATTCTTGGCTCTCATCCCTCCATCTCCACCTCCCTCAGGAGGAGAAGGGGAATTACCACCCCTTGCACGAAAGAGCTCACGATTGTGCAAGGAACGGAGCATCACCTCCGGCAAACCCCTACAGAGATGCCTGCCTGGCCAGAAACAGTGATCTCAAACCTGAATAATGTCCAAATCATGATTGCTATGGATGTTACTATGGAAGGGGATGGGGCCATGACCCTGATTAAAGACAGGTCTACAGTGGAGACACAGGCAGTGGGAAATCTGAACGCCTTTACACAATTCAAGTCCCAATTCCTGCATGAGTATAAAAGATTAGGGGGTTAACGGGTGACACAAAAGGACTGAAAGTGACTTTAACATTCCTGAAGTGAGAGTCCACCCTCTGGCTTCAATTATTGGGATGAATTAGATCTGAAAATCAATTAAATAAAATGCTCGACCTCATCTGTGTTAATCAGGCCCCCTGACAAATTAATATTTTGGTGTCCTCAATGTATGGCAGTACTTGCAAGTGTGTGTGACCGTACACAGTCTTTTCTTCTGCCATTAACAATAGTCTGTGCAAGCAAGTCACTTTAACTGGATAGTTCACCAAAAAAAAGTAAATACTATCATTATTTACTTATCTTAATGTCGGTTGAAACCTATGAATTGTGGAACACAAAATAAGACATTTCGCAATTTTTAAAAATATTTATTGTCTATACAGTCAAGGTCAGTGTTGTTTTGGACCTCATTGACTTTTATTGTATTGACAAAAACATTCTTCAAAATATCTTTGTGTGTGTGTGTGTGTGTGTGTGTGTGTGTTCCACAGAAGAAATAAAGTCATACAGGTTTGGAAAAACATGAGGGTGAGTAAACAAATTTGTATTTTTAAGGCAAGTTAGTTCATTCAGCCGCCAACATCCCCAGCCCGTTATTTGCTCTACCTGAACACGGAAAGACTGAAGTCTCGTTTTCATCGTATTATTTCAATAAACACTTTTAAATCAGCAATAAAATCTGACAACAACCGTATCATAAATTGTTCTTCTTTATCTCAAATCACACTAAACAGCTGTATTTTTCAGGCCCTTGTAACTTAAAGGCAGGACTTCTATTACTACAGCTGTCATATCGAGCATTACACATATTTTCACATTTATTATTCTGCGAGTGGTCTGGCTCCTCCTCATGTCTCTAGTGTAAGTCACACCACCGGAACGTATAAGAAAGAACAAATCAATGACAACGTATTCTTACTTTTGGTGGACTTATTATTCAGGGCAAAAATCACACATAAAAGAAAGAAAGAAAGAAAGAAGACATAACTTGACAAGATGAAAAAGACATAAAGAAAGAGCCCAAGACCAAAGATAAACTACAACAGACAAAAAAAAACACAAAAAAAACACAAAAAAAAACAAAAAAAAATCACCAAGGCAAACAAAAGGCAAGCAAACATCTGACGGAGCAAAGCAGATCAGCAAAGACAAAGGAATAAAAGATTTTTTTTCTGGTGGGCTGGGTGGTCCGCTGTTCACGGAGAAAGCGGGCGAGAAGCGAGGGCGTGTGTTTGCGCTTGGCATTTGCATGGCTGGCTCCCCTGTAGCCCTGGCTTGGGATCCACTCACTCATATTTATGTGCATATTGAGTGTTCCCAGGTGTTGTCTCTGGACTCGAGGTCAACGCTGAAAGGGCAGCAACTAAATAAAACTGACATACTAACAGAGCATCTGCCTGCGTGCGGCGGTGTTTGGCTTTGATTTCTTATTGACATCTGCCCAAACAGACAAACAAGAGTGTGGGATGAAAAACAAACTATTGGCTTTCCGTGACTCCTGCTTCGGGAGTGTATCTGCTCGCTGAATGAAATGCCAGGCTGTTTGAGCTGAGCTGTGCGGCCGCTATTGATGCTGTGATTGGGAACATCAAGATTCTGGCACATTTGGTTGATGGAAGATTGTACCTCTCTGAGCCAGTCCCGAATGGACTTGTTGGCCTCCTGGTGCCAGACGTTATGGACAGAGTCAGTCATGGCCACCACACGGACACGATTCTTCACTTCTGCTTCTCGCTGAATCATCTGAGTGGGAGAGAGATACATTAGCAAATAGCATATGATATCATTGTTTCAATTAAAAGCTACAGGACCATCCAAATGTATGGTGCATTTCAGTTTTTATTAACAGAAATGTATCTTGTAGAGTATCATATACTGTCAAAGTCATCATTCAGTAACCATGGTATACATCAAAATACCATCATGTATTTTCTGTCAATGCTAATGCGTTAAACATTACACAATGTGTACATGGTCTGCAATGCATTTGTGACATTACAGTCTTAAATGTAAAAAGAAAGCAAAAAACGCTTCTACAAGATAAAAACACGTGAAGAGGTGCTTCTTTTCATCCTTGTATTTTAGACTGTGAGCAATCCAAAGGAGTTAGCCTGTCACACTAACTATTCCATTCAAGATAAACGGCTAGAGAAAAAGGGCCGGTCTGACAACAATAGGTTAACAATCACTTTACGTGATCCATTTTACAGGAGCTACACCTGGCCTGGTGCTACATCAAAGTGTCCATAGTCATTTTAATACATTCCCCAAGCCCATTTAAATTAGAGGGACTGTATAGAGATAAATGGAATCTATTAAGGCACTAAGGACTAATACATCACACCGCTGATAAGCTTTTCTCAGGAGCATCCTCTTAAAGAAAAGGGGAGGAAGCACATGGCGGCTCGCGCACACACACACACACATCGAGTGACTGAAACATGCATGGCTAAAATGTCTTCCTGTTTCAATGATACCCAGGAGGCCAGCAAATTCAACCTTTTAAAAACTACTAAAAGTGTCAGTTAAGACAGCTTTAGGAATATGGAAAGGTAACTAAATATGTTCCAGATATACATGGTTTTAAAAAGCACTTGAAATAAAAAGAACCAAACAGAGAATGGGACTTTCTAGCAATTCTTGGGACGCTGTTGTCATCAGTTTTTTTTTTGTTAAACTATTTATGTTATAGAAACTACTATGAAACATAAATTGTAATATTAAAAGTAACTGTACAAGAAGAACATTTCAGTACGTTCTATAGCAGGACAAGTAAATCATATAACATTTTCTCATTTTTTTTTCTTTGTATTTTTTAATGGATTTGTAAAGTTCAGCCATTCAAATCTTTTACAGAATTAATTTTCTATTAATTTATTATTATTATTATTATTAAATGTATCTTTTTTATTTTTAGTTTACGTTTACTGATATAAAAAAACAAGGTTTAAAAACAAACTGTAATACATGAAATAAAATAAACACTATTTAACATAATATTTACTCTGATGATCAAAATTTCCTGAAGTGTAAGCATCTCCTTTTAATTTGTCTACTGAAAATACAAAAATAAATAAATAAGGCCCTGTTTTGTACTCTGTTGGTGGAAAGTGTTGTATATTATTACAATGCTGCTGCTAATATGGAAATGTTATGCATGAATATTTAAAACACACAAAAAGGCTGTAATGGTATTTAATGGCATGATTTACTCATCCCATGACAAACGGTCTGACAAAATCATGTAAACACAACCTCAAAGCAAACATGGGCATTGGATACGAAGAGGAAAATGACAGAGAGCAGCTTTGATGTGTGTGAATCTGTGATGTTTTCCATTGGGAAAACTGAAACATGTGTATTAGATTTACAACATCACACTGCTCTGATTGATGTCCTTCAGTGACAGTCTATGTGCTCCACACATGCTGTCAGCAACTGTCTTACCCACACACATAACTTCAGAGAGCCCGTCACTGTAAACCTATAACTCGAAATGTCCTGTGGGCACAGCCAAGCACTGAAATTATTAAAAGAACATATGAACCAATGAAAAAATAAATAATGTACTGTCAGGCCAATCAATGTAAGGGTGCGAGCAAGAATGACGGCACGCACGGGACCAAAGCCTTAAAACCCTCGTAATCTACATTCCTCTGTACATTAGCTTAAGCATTATAGCACCACGTGAGCCACTCTCTCAGCTGGTCTGTAACCATAAAAGAAAGAAACCGGGCAGCTGTGCTCATCAACCTCCTGCCCAGAAACAGCGCGAAGAAAAAGCAAACATGTGGAAGTACTTGTTGCACTAAAATCAACAGAGACAGATGTTGAAACATTTGCTATCTCACTTCTGCCCTTTTCTTTGCACTTGAGCATCTGGCTTGAGGAGGAGAGACAGGGGGAGAGGTGAAAGTGCGATGGAGGCGGCAACGAGACGGAGATGACATCCAGCCTCTGAGATGGAACGAAAACATCACTCTCATTTTCAACATGACTGTGTTAGCAGTGTAATTAGCATTTTCTGAAGAAACTAACAGTGCTAGTGTTATAGTTTTAGGTTTTGTAAAAAATGAAATGCTGCATCCGACTCTCAATACATGTCTTTTTTCAGTCGGCTGCTCACAAGAATCAACACTTAGTTACTATGCAGTGTAAAAGTAGCTGTAAATGGTTAAAAAACTGCAAGGAAGACAAATCACAATTCAGTATGCAAATAGATGTAAGAAAGAATACCAGTCGGAATTCATTATGCAAATATAACCGATGACATCATACTGTGAAAACAACATGTACTAATGATGAATAAGACCAATGCCGTGCATAAAAGTAAAAAACAGTCTATTTTGACTTCTTGTTGAATGTAATTATATATATATAGGGGTCAGTCCAATTTTTTAAAAATAAGTTCAGCAAAGATTGATTGAAAATGGGAGCAAAAACATCTATAATGTTACAAAAGATTTATTAACTTTTTTTAAATAAAACGTTTTTTTAACTTTCTGTATCATATTATCCACAAAAATATTAAGCAGCACAACTGTTTTCAACATTGATTATAACAGGACATATTTTGTGATCACCAAATCAACATGTTACAATGATTTCTGAAGGATCATGTGACACTGAAGACTGGATTAATGGCTGCTGAATATTCAGCTTTGCTTTCAAAGGAATAAATTAATATTAAAACAGAAAACATTTATTTTAAATTATAATGATATTTCACAATATTACTGTTAATCATACTTTGTTTGATCAAATAATTGCAGCATGGTGTGAATAAAAGAGTTCTTTCAAAAACATTTTTTTAAAAATCATACGACCCCAAAATTTGAATAAACCCCTTTTATCAGAAAGGTTCGAAGAAAATCAGTTCAGTGCTACCTTGCAAATACTATAATAAAGCCAGCACAACTCTCACAGGCAAGAGTTGGTATGAGCTGGTTGTTAATATATATTGTTTATACTAGGTGATTTTGAAAACGCTGCGATGTGGTAAATGGTCTGTTGTGACATTCGGTCAAACAGTATCAAGGACTGCCAGCGGGAAATCTCTGAAGACAGCAGATTTCCCTTCCTTTTCTCCGGATAAGCTCCATTAAGGCTGTTCTCTTCATCCGTCTTTTGCTACACAGCCCAGTTGCTATGAAACCCCAATCAGTAGAAACCCAATTAAAGACACAAGGATGATTTTGGACCAGCTAGCCGAAATGGTCTTTCCGATATTGGCTAAATCCTGCAGCTGATGAGGACAAAATATCCCGGTTGACATATATCCTTACCCCCCTCCCCCAATCTCACTCTCACTTTCTCCCTCTGTTTGACCTCTTCAGTGACCTCTACTGTAAAATACAGCATTTAGCACTTTAAGTGTCTTCACGTCACATAGTGAGCTAATTGCTGGACTTCAGTTGCTGGAAATCGCATTTTCCTTAATGAAGCTGACCGCAATGGAAGTGCTTCTTTATTTGCCCCTGCATTTCGAACACAGAATAGTGTGAAACACACACACACACAGGCAAAGAGGAGAGTTTAACGATAAGAAAGGCGGGGAGACGACTCTCGTGCGGCGATAAATACTCCGCCATTTCAGCCGTCCTGGCGACAAAAGCGAACGCTCTCCATGAGACTTACATGCAAATACACAAGCAATAAGACAATTATTTAGGGCTTTGATAATTACGTGTCAAAGGCAGTGCAAGTCACCAGATAATTAGGTGAGAACTGAATGGTAATCCACAATGGCATCCCTGGAGGCAGGGGAAAAAAACACTCAACACATTCCCAGAAGAATGAGGGAGGAATAAAGTAGCGAAGAGATAAATAAATAACATGGGCTTTTAAAAAGGAACGTGCTTACCAACAAATAGCACCATGAAAAAAGTGGCAATTACCATGGTGAGGGCAGACACTGTGGACACACACTCACGCGCACGTGTGTGCAAATCCAGATGCGGGCTGATTCAGGAAGCCATGCTGTTAGCATCGGTGCTGAGTCCAGACTAATGCATCCAAACTGCTGCCATAATCTGGACATCCCACTGCGTGGTAAAATGAAGCTTAAATATTTGATTGATTAACTGTCCAATTACAACCAGTGAGCGAGGGCCAACACTGTGCACAGCTACATACATGCACATCCACACAACAGCAGTATGTCTTGGCAAATGTATACACTGGCCCTAAAAAGTATTTGGACTGTAAAGTAAGCTACACTTAAAAATGTATCAGTGTCAAAGAATCTAACAAATGTGGTATAGTCAGCAGGATCAAACAGGCCAAGCTGGATCTATAAACAAATGATGCTACCCTTTTCCTCAAATTAACTATTACTTTTAACTGGGGCCAGTTGCTCCACCTTTGTGTTATGCCCTAGTAGTTACTAGTGTAAACGTACATCCTATTTTAAGCAAGGTGTGGTTCATCACAATACTATGAACATAATCCACTACATGTCTGACAACTCAGAAGTGTTTAATACCTTCATCTTAATTCTGAACAATATATCAATTGCATGTGATGTTTCTTTAAAATAAATGCTCTTTGGTTTGAAAGTTCAGCGGTTTCATGATAAACTTAATCTCAGTGTCCTTCGCTAGCATTGTGCTGACCCCACTAAGACATCTAACCTCTGGAGCAAAGAGGGGCTCCAAAGGAGGTGGAAAGTTTTGGCCTTTCTTCATTATCCAGGTCCAAGAGGGCACAGGCCAGCCCTCATTCCTCTGGCCCCCCGCTCGAGC